GCGGCTGCATTCGAGGTTAAGCAGTGTGCTAAGAGCATTTACAAATTATATTACCACAAGACAATCATGTTTATATATACTGTCTTTTTAAATTATGCTTTAAACTTTGGGTACATTTTTAATTTAATTTTTAATTATTTTGTTGAGCGACTTTAAGTAGAAAAGGTAAATAGCAATATTTTAAATAAATAAAAACAAGGAAGTTCTGCCTATACTGTAATAGGTGGATATGAATAATAAGGCATACTTTTATACAATAATTATAATATATTACTAGTTACAGAAATATTCCCCAAGTATAAAAAAAAAATGAGGAGCAAAACACTCTCACATACTTTTCAGATCATCTGGATTTTATTATTTAGCTTTTGTATTGTTTTTTGGCTAAAGGATCCACAAGGTCCCCAAGTTGGATCAGGATGACCATCAGGCTGGTGATGAACTGTGTGCATGGTGTTAATTCTTTCTCCCTAAGTCACAGTTGTAATGAAATTCTCCAGCCCTTTGAAGCTTGGACAAGTGAAAAGTCATATTTAAAGTCATTTGGATAGTTTGGCTTGGAAGAATGTGGCTAAGTTTGGAGAGGCAAAGAATTAAAGTAAACATTAATACATGTGTTTCCTTGAATATAACTGTGACCAAACAATCATCTGTGTTTGTCTAAACTGTGTCTAACTATGTTTTATGAATTGTTGTGAACTGCCTAGAGTCATCATCTGAGATAGGTTCTGTAAATATAAGTCCTGTAAATAAATAAATAAATCCTAACAAAACATCTTCAATGCTTTTGCTGAAGAACATGCTTCTAAAATGCTGTCCTACATGAAATAAACACCTCCAGGCACTTTGAAGATTACCTCTCCTTCTCTATTAGCTTTTCTGTGCCTATCCTCTTTGATGATATTCATTGCAGATAATCTGTTCTACTGACAGTTAAAATTATGAGAATATCTGGAAATATTTTATGAAGATACACTTAATATTAGGCCATATTCTTTAACAGCACTAACTTTATTTATAGCAGATTTAACAAACAAGCGTCCCACCATCTATTGCTCATCTCCAACTCCTCACCAGAATTAAGCTTGGCTGAGCTTGCTGGTACCAGTAATTCACCAACATTTCATTTGCTACAGGATCTCCACTAATTTATAGTACCCTGTGTTTGTTATGATTCATAA